AATTAATTAATCCGCAATAAGCTATTAAAAGCTTTGACATTTAGTGTGCCAAATTATCACTAATTTTATAATTCCTTTAATAAGAACTAAAATTAAAGTAATCATAATAAGTAGGTAATAAAACGAATTAACTTTCAACAAATTTCAGCGCAATTTCAAATTTTAAACGTTCAATTTGTAAAAAGTAGTTGACGAGTCATAAAGAAAGTAAAATTCACGTACAGTCATAATGTCTGAGAAATTACGTGTGTAGTGTAAACAAATATTGCGATGTAGTTCCATTTTTCCTATAAAAAAATATAAAATTCAGCTGCTCTTATCGATACGGCTAGTGGATAATTCAATAATCAACATTCAGCCTTCGAATTTTAGTCGTAAAAGAAAGCACGGATTTTTTTTTTTTTTTTTTTTTATACGCGCATTTACGATAGGAAAGTTTTAGCGCGAATCTCTATACGCGATCGAGTATTACTCTGTGATTTTAAAATAAAGTCTGCTGATAAGCAAATTGAAAGCTACGCGTAAAAGCCACTCGACAGACTCCCAGAAGACCTGCCAGAAAAACAATCCATCGGACTTATCGCTCCTCGGCAATTTGGCGAAAGAGGAAAAGCGAGAGAATCCGCAAGATCACGGCGGTCAAGTGTCGATGCGAAAATTCAACGGTTCGCTCGCTCTCGGCTTTGAACTCACCGTAGCCGACAATTTTCCCCATGACAGGTCATTTTTCATATTACCGCGCTCGCCCCGCGATATTATCATTTCGCTCCTCTCGCCTTTGTTGCTCATCGGCAGATGCTGGCTTTTATTGTTTCCGCGGGCGGCCCGCGACCTAAAGAAAAGCTCCGTGGCCTTTGCGACCTGACCAGCGCTTCACGACGAGTTTTCCTCTAGATGGAGCAGCCAACCTTTCGAGCCTAAGACCTTGCTTTTTCAGCGTTCGAACGCTATCCGAAGAACAACAGAGTGTCCAAAGCTATTAATCCGACTTACACAATGATGTTTTTCTATTTAAAGCATTTGTCGATATAATTCGCAATTCTAATAGTATTTTGACAAACTATTTACTATTCAGTTATTTTACACTGTACGAATCTTAATTACCGTTCGCTTTTTATATCCATTTGTTATATAATAATTTTTATTGTTGCATAATTGGAACGATATTTTCAAAAAAATATGACGTTCTTGGCGTTTGTTTGTCTAAGCGACGAATAAATATTTATGGCAATCGGATACGTTACAATTTTATAAATGCAGAGTATGAAAAAAAATAATACATCTTTTTTATTATTTCCTCCGTTTAAAATGAGCATGTTTTAGCGGTTGAACATGAGTTAATAGTCAAAATTAAATGAAATATTCAAATATACCTTAACGTTCTTAAAATATACTTGGTTAAATACATAAAGGAAACAATACAAAAATTAAGGAGTGCTTGAATTAAAAATTTCATTGTAGAAAGTAATGAATGTAATAATATTTCATTTCACTGAGATTCTCTCAGTAGATCACAATTTATTTATGTAGCGTTTATGTACGGAGAAATGAAAAGTAACTTAATAAGTAGAAAAATAAATTGAGACCGAGGAGAATGCTACAGGTAACAGAAAAGCTTATTGAACGGCGATTCAGCGATTTTATTTTTAATTAAAGAAGAGAGAGAGAGAGAGAGAGAGATAAAGAGAGGGATAGCTTTGTTCGTGATTATATGAAACTATTTAGATGATATTTGTACGATAAGAATGACATAGAGATCAATTTATTTCGTATAATCAATGTGCTTATTCGTCATTATCCAAATTCAAATTAATAAAATATTCGTTTTTAAGTTGTACCTAACCTTTATTTCCATTTATAGCAAAGTACCGCGATTTGCAAATAAATTTTTTAAAAATTCAAAATGGTTGTGCCGTTCAGAGAAAATGGATATTTGTATGCTGAAAAAAATTCTTACAACGTAATTTATCGTAACGAAGAATCTGACTCAATTCCTACATATATGATATATGAAATGAACAACATGAAAAACTGCCGACTAAAGCGTATTACCGTGTGTTCTTTACACACACGCGCACAAACACACACACACACACACACTCTCTCTCTCTCTCTCTCTCTCTCTCTCTCTCTCTCTCTCTCTCTCTTGTTCTCCGTGTACGTGCGCAATAGAAACATTAAAACTAAAAATACCGACCTTTGAAACATCATTTATGCATATTCATTTTCAATTGAAACTAAGTATGTATTGGTATTTTTGTATTTATTTACCGTTTACAGTGAACACGATGAAACGCCGCCAATGTGTGGCTTCCAAACCAACATTGTAATAATGAGAGTGTCACGATAGTTACATCACTGTTGGCATTTATAAAGCGCTTGTTACATCTGATGCGACATAAACTGCGTTGCACGAGACGCGTAAAACCAGTATCGCGCAAACGGAAAATCTCTGACTTTATCGTTAGCCAGAGAAAAGAGACGACAAAGCCCAGACGTCGATGTTTTACAACAAAACCTTTAATGAAAATTCGTGAAGGAACGCCGTCGGACTAATCCTGCGTGAGAATATCGTTCTGAAATAACAAGAAGGAAAAAAAAAGGATTGTAAGCAAGTCCGGTCTAAAATATTCGGGTCGAGGCGCCGACGGGAATTTCGTTGGCGCGAGGTGAAAAAAAAAGGCGGGGGATGTTATTAGAGATAATAATCTCATAAAATAATAATTCCCGGGAGTGCATGTGACTACTGGGCCCGAGGCTCGAAAAGACACAGCCGATGAATGCGTAAGAACAGCTCCGGATGAGCAGAGTGCGTCCTGGAGAGCTGAAATTCCGTAAAATTTGACGTGAATGGATGCCTGCCTGGCTTCACCAGTCGTGGAAATTCGTCCTCCTACCGGCAAATTTGACGAAAAAGTGTGATTGATTTCTTTTATGTTTCTTGTTTATTTGCGCTCTAAAATAATAATACGGTCGAAGGATCTCATGTATTATATATTTGAGCCCAAATAAAGTTTTATAAACATTGCAAGTGCTTTGGGGTCAAAAAAAAAAATGAAGAAGTAAGGTGTTGCTTTCAAAATGTAGCAGCATGAAGTCAGTTAACATTTAAATAATTTTCGTTCAATTTTTAACTCCTACATCGGTAGGACATCCATAGAATAATAATAAGATTAATAATAATAAGAAGAATAATAAATCTCCATGGCCGAAATTAAAAAGTAAATGTGCTTATGACGTTTACGTTTACGACGTGAACGAAAATTATATATTTTTGTACGTTGACGATACCATTGTGAGATAGCGATCGTTAGTACATTTATCCGTTGAATTAAAAAGTGAAATTTACATAAGAATATTGGAAAAATATCGTTATGTATAATAGTATTTATCAATCAATTTAAAGAATGAGAATATGAAAAGGGAACGTAATTTATTTTAAATTAATTTACGAGTTAATAGCGTCTTGGATTGGTCGGACAACTAAATAACATGAACTCATAGATGTTCAAGTCCATGGTTTTTCGAGCTAGAAGGATCGGTTATTAAAAATTCTCACGCCTACATGGACGACTCAAAGATCTTTTACTTAAAAGAGGCCAAATGTAAAATCGGTAGCGAGCTTAAGAAAGGTCGTGATTTAGGAAAAACCACCTTGGCTCGTAAGCTCGGCAACAAATTTCACGAATAAACACTGAAACAAGTAAAAAACAAAAAAATATATCGTCACCGAAATTTGAGCGCGTTGAGCGAACGAGGCGCGAGTGAGGGGGGGGGGTGGACAAACGATCGACCGAGAGAGAGAGAGAGAGAGAGAGAGAGAGAGAGAAGCAGTACAGCGCGATTGGCCGTAGGGCGTCGACAAGGCTTCCAGGCCAGTGCCGCTCAAGCGCAGGTGGAACCTCTTTGTCCGTCAATTAGTCACGTGTTCCTTCTCCGCTTTTCTTCGCCCCCACCAAAAAAAAGGTACTGGTACCTGACCAGGTGTAGTAACCGCTGCCACCGCCGCCGCCACCGCCTCCAACACCGCCACCCGGGGGAAAACGAGCTTCGTGCTACTTTCTCACTATTCACACGCTTGGGAAAAGCCGCCGTGATGGGCTTTTCCATGCTTAATTAACGGACGAGCGAGCGAGATATATAATGAAAAGGGCAAACAAGCACCGCTCGATTCGGTCTAATCGAGATTTTTATCAGCGATCGATCGCGAGCGAACGACTCGTGCGTCGCTCCATTTGTTTCCCGACTGCCGCCCCAACAATGGAATTCTACGGCGATTATCGTCTCTCCTTGTGTCCTGAAACGAGCGCTGCTTGATTATAAAACAAAAAAACACAAAATTACCGTGAGACCATTTCCAACGATTTTGTATTCAATGCACAATTTGTAAAAAGAGCTATTCTTACGTATAAATACGGATATTCTGAAATTATGTAAACGTTGACAGATTATTGAAAATCGTTTGCGTTAGTTCTTTAGCAATTTCTTTAATTTAAGTGCCGTTAAACCGTTTACTTTATTCATTTCAATCCAATGATACTCGTTAAAGGTCTAAAAGATCACTTTCGCGCCGTTTTACCAGGTTGTAAGACAAGCACACCTCAACGATTATAGTCAGACACTGATAAAAATTTCATTTCATAGCCTTGAGTGAGACATATATATATATATATATATATATATATATATATATATATATATATATATATATATATATATATATTTTTTTATATTTTTATTTTTGTATATATGAATATGTGTGTGTATGTGTGCGTGTGCGTATATATATATATATATATATATATATAATGCAAGAATGAATCTCGAGAGTAGCATAAAAATAGCAGTCACATCGATAAGATAAGACGAAATCAGAGTTTGTTGAGGTAAAGATTGGCGCAAATGTTCGCCGCTAATCATCGTCAAACAGTCGCAAGAGCGAGAAAAAAAAAAAGAGCTCGTAGTCGAATAAAATTCTGAACGTAGATTCTGTTTTCCAGGCGAGTATATCCTAAACGCGGGCAGTTCCTCGTCGGAGAATTCGGATCAGCGCCGTCGGCGGGAGGAGCATCATTTGCTCGGCCTCGGCGCTGTTGAGGATCTCGTCGGCCTTGGCGAGGACTCCCTCGGCCTCAACGATAGCTTGGGCCTCGAGAATGACTTCACCTCGGAGCTCCTCGGCGACGACTGCCTACTAGACGGCTGCGCCGCCGTCGACGGTTTCCTCGGCAACGACACCCTCGGCCTCCCCGACGGCTTCAATCTCGAGGAGGCACTCCAGCTCGTCGGCCTCGATGAGGCCCAGCTCGAGGTCAGTTGCCACCACAGCTCGGACCTACTCTCGGGCCCTTACTCCAGCGCCATTATCGCAAGTCCAACGATCGAGACCAGCCCCGTATAACCTCCTTCGGCCTCCTCTTTCCTACAAAACGCAACTGCGAAAATGCCGCGCGGCGCACACCTAAGGAATAAGGTCTGCAAGGCGTGGTGAGGCTTACCGGTGGGCGATCGGGGTCCTGGTAGTTATAATAACCGATAAGCTATCCGGATGCTCCCATCTAAAGTCGACGCTCGTCATTCCGCGCGGTTATGCAGGTCGCCCGGATGAGAGAAACGGGTTACTTGGGACTTAAGGTTAGATCCGGTGAAATTTTAGCTGATAAATTGTATGGAGAGACGCGAGTACTCGCAGTTGCGATCGACGCGACCGATTGCGCAAGTTATCTGTCGAATGAGAATTACGGGTGTACATTTTCCAAGGCCATGGCACATTAATATCTTTCGTTTCAATTCAACTATCGATTCAATTTTCCCCACCTCGCTTACTCTTTCGTAGTTTTGCGGTTTTATTTTTAGACATTCGTCGATGTAAATTCATTAATAATTGCGAATAAGCGCGAGCAAATCTTACCGAACGCAGAAATTGTAACACCTCCCCCCCCCCTCCCACCACCACTTCCCCGTCACTTCGTTCTCCATTAATTTCTCGCGATTAATAATTGTAATTGGTTGAACGAACGTTGCGCTAATTAGATCGCGATTACCGGTCTACTTCTTCAAATGAGTAATATTCAAATAAGTCGTCGCTTTTAATGAAATTTTGAAGTGCGACAAATGCTCGATGATAATGCCAGAATTTTGTAATTTTGGCTTTTTAATTTAGATGCGCGGCATACCGACGATCGATAAAGGACCGCGTCGATATGCAATATTTTTCATTGCAATGTGCATTATTCTGTAACATTTTTTATTCAAACTAATATTATGCCGCTAGCTTTTCATACGCTTATTATCGGCTGTTCAAAAATCTCAATAAGATGAGTCAACAAAATGAGAGATCTCGTTAACGCGATGCCTAATAACAAGCCAAGTGACGTTACATTTTCATATTCTTTTTTTCCTTGTATCATTCGCACTTGTAATGGGAAAAGTCAACTTTGCCGGAAGATTTGTAATTTCGTATGGAAAATGAAGTATAGGGGAAGAGGCTGTAAAAGGACAGAGAAGAAGATAGACCGAATAAAGAGATAGCGCGTCGCGATATAAAACAGCCGTCGGATAAAAGTCTCGAAAATAATGACGATGATGCTTTTATTACTCATTAGGTAAGAGGTAGTTATGTTTTTATCAAATGCTTTCATCCTTCCTCCCTTCTCCTTTCACCGTCTGCCCCTCCCTCTCCCTCTCCCTCTCCCTCTCCCTCTCCCTCTCCCTCACATACCCCAACAACGATCGAATGACTGCTCTTTTCTCTGCTGCCCCATGCTGAGCACATACCCCAACAACGATCGAATGACTGCTCTTTTCTCTGCTAAAATAATGTAATTTTCTTGGTGGTGGTGGTGGGATCGAAATGGGGGGATGAATTTAGAAGAAGCCGGAAGTAAAGAAGAAGAGCGACGAGGACTCCGACGGAGCGCGTAGCGACTCGCGCGCATCCACGTCCGAGGACAACGAGGAGGAGAGCAGCCCTAAGGAAGCAGAGACCGACAGCATGATTCACACGCCCCAATATCATCACCCGCATCATCCGCACCACCGCTCATTCCAGGTAATGATGAGGTCCAAGTGTTTTGCGTCCCCCCTCCGTGGCTCCAAGCACTCGTAACGGCTTGTCGGCTCGGTTCGTTCAAACATTGTTAGGTGGCACACTGTGCTCATCAATTCAAAGTCAATTACACCGGATCGCGCAATTTTCCCTCTTTTTACATTAACGGAGGCTTGGAAAAAGTCTACTTTTCACGAGCAATTTATCGACTATATTACAAGCATAAATAGTTACATGGCAATGTCACATCGATGTACATGTCTCTTCCTCCTTCTCCACTATAATTTTCATGGAATCTTTTGGGTCTGGCAAGGATCGATTAATCATCCCAAGCCTTACACGATACCTTATTATTAATCGCCATTAAATTGATTTGCCCGAGCCTCGGACACATTAACTGTTCATACATCTGCATATCGCATGATGAAATTGATAAGTCAACTATAAATAATCAATAAATATTCTCGCGGGCGTACATTGTTAGTCTAAGGGGCTAGTAAAGAATGATAAACTGCCAATATCGCAACACTCTCATCGATTCATTAATTACGGGAGGAAGTTCTTTGCCGAGGAGACTCCGTTCGGCCGTACGCTGTTTCCGTGTCCTTGTGACCCGACGAGGAGCGAGAAGCCACCCATTATGGACATTGAAATACAGTTTCCCAAGAGCGAGTCAGACCTCTCGTATATAAAACGGAGAGTGACGACCATTTGACTGGCGAACGAGCACTTTTCACCCGCGCATCGTGAAAAGTCCGTGAGGCTGAATGAGCTTCTGATATACGAAGTAGGAAAGCGTCGAGGCGGCGGAGGAGAGTATGAGGAGGAAAAAGGCGAATGCATGGCCGAGCGACGCTGTTACCGCTCGGCCTTTTTACGGTCCATAAACGGGACCTAAGGTTATTTACAGCCAAGCCAGGAGATCCGCGCGCGCACCCAACAATTACACCTCGTAACCACCGTCTTAATGTAACGGGCGAACTTTGCATTTGCGCAACTCTCGGGCTGCGTATGGGATTCCTCCCATTTTCCGACTGACCAAAAATTGCTAGGGACGCCACGGATCATCTCACCAATCTACTCTTGTAGCTTTAACTTCGAGCGCCACCTAACGATCAGCCGTGGCCTTCACAAACCAGCAGCTTACGTTGAAATTTTATTAAAAAGTGTCTGATTAGTGGAGAGGCGTTTGATACTTGGAGCGGATACGCGAGTCGCGCATACATCTTAATTTTTGCAGGGATTTTCATTCGTCGATAGATAGATAGATAGATATATAGATAGATAGATAGATAGATAGATAGATAGAGAGAGAGAGAGAGAGAGAGAGAGAGAGAGAGAGAGAGAGATGGCCGATGCCTGTGACCGAGCTAGAACGACGGCCCAATTATCTCTCCAATCGAAGGTAGTGGGTGCTTTAACGCGGCGCAAATCCGTCGTAATTTAGTCGATGTATTGGCATGCGACTGACTGATTCGACGACAGAGCTGACACACACTAGCTTGTGATTTCGTAATACCAAATCTAACAATTAATTTTCTTTTTTAAAAATATACATAGGAATGAGAGGACATTTGGGTTAATGTTCAGGTTGTAACGCCGGTCGTTCAATCCGCAAGTCTCCATCAAGCATTGGGAGAAGCACCACGATACGGCAAAATCTCCGACTTTTTTTTAAGCGTCAACGTGACGCATCTCGGTCACCACTGGTCATAAAACACATTAGACGCAATTTTATGAATTAAGGCGGGAAGTAAAGAGTGCAATAATACATGCATATGTAGACGGCGCTAAATCAACGGCCGGTGATGTGAAAAGCCAGGGAGCGGGACGAGTATTAAAAGCACCCTAGGCCAAGCGAGCTTTTTCTTCTCATCGTTGCCACGCGTTGCCGAAACGGGCCATCCAGGTATTGCCGACTAGTCGTTCCGAGCACTTTGTTCATTACGAGGTATCCTCGTCCCCTCCTCCTCCTCATCCTCCTCCTCCCTCCTTCCTCGTATAAATAACAATTTATATGCGGACACAGCGACGATTTTCATTCATCATATAAACACCACGCAATAACGAGTAGTAGGGTCATCCGAATCCACGGACTCGCGCATTTTCCGCTAAATCTCGCTCGTTAAGATTTAACAATCGTTAGCTTGTATCACCCTAATGAAAGAGACGGACAGCTGGTGTATGGGAAACACGATGACGATGAAACGCCGAGACGAACGTAACGAAGTTGAAGAGAAGCTAATGCAGCTCGCGCTACCTATCCCATTCCCCGCAAATTCGTAAATTCAAAGGATTAACGACGATTAGCGATCTCACGATCACACTCGTTACACCGCCCAGTTACCACTGTCGTCGCACGAAACAAAAGCGGGCGCGCGCGTGCGCTACCTTAAACATTACGCAATTTAATTGTCGTAAAGGTCGGCCGCTTCCCAGCCGATGAGATTCGTGATCACGGCCGCAACGACGCGATGCTCCCCAAACGCTCTCGCTCTCGCCAAACTCGGTTGATGGACACGGACGACTATCCATCGCCTCGTGCGACCATACGACGCATCCAGCGGAACGCAATCCAGCACCGAGGATCTCCAAGGTAACGGAGGAAGAGGAGGCCATAACGTTTAATGCCCCTTTGTCAGGCGACTGACACGCACGTGGCCGCCGCCGTGGGAACGAGGCGTCTTAAGCGCCACGTATTTGCGGCGATTCGCATTGGGCCTCTCACGTTCGGAGAAACTGGCGCGAACGCTCCCCACCCATCGAACTCCGCTGTATTATCGAAGGAAACTTATGGGCATCGGCGAACGAGCCGCGATAGCGAGGTGCGATCGTTAGCATCTAAATGCGCGCTCGTGAAAGTGTGAGAGAGAGAGAGAGAGAGAGAGAGAGAGAGACAGAGAGAGAGAGAGAGAGGGACCGCGAACGATAAAAAGGACCGTGGAAAACCGCGGAGTTAAGTGTTGAGCCCGGAGGCGACAGTGCGCCGGTCATAATTCTCTCCTGGGCCTCGCGGCCCTCCCGTCACGCGAACCGCGACTACAAATCAAATTTATCCCCCGAGCCTCGTGGCGGCAGCGGCTGCGGTAGTCCATTGATATCCGCTGGCCCTTCGTTCGGCTCGAAGAGCCTTTTTACCGTGGACGGCTGGTCGGTCAGGCGATCGAGGAATCGAGGTGAAAGAACAAGCGCGGGGAGATGGACGACTTTCTAGGTGGTTTTACCTTATCGCCCGGGGCTGGCCGGAGCTGCCACGACGTATTTACGAATACGCGTGACATACGAGGGGGTTTTAAGTGCCGCACCGGGGTAAACCGCAGGGAAATTTATGGACGCTTGTAGCTCGTGCGAGGCTGCGCTAATATGATTTAGGCTCTCCGCGATTGGAAAATTTAGAAATTTGCGATATCGGCGCTACTTGACGTTGCCGCCCCGAGGACGCGATACACCTGTTCTTTTTTGGCTTATCGCAGGGGTGAATAATTACGCCAAGTTTCTCGTGCAAAGATATTCCGATTGCCGCGACGGAATTTTAGAAAAATTGATAAATCCTTGCGAGCCGTTTACCCGAGGACCTTATATGGGGACCCTCGAACTTAACACGAGTAAGACTCGTTTCGCTACGTAGTTACCTCAGATACAACGGCATCTCTTACAAAAATTGTGACAAGGACTGGACTATCTCGAGTGACTCGTGCACAATGTCTCTTTCTCATCGAGTGGATGATGCTTTTGTAAGTGGCTCGTTGGCTAGACTTGACCACGGGAAGGAAAAGCCGTTGCTTTGGTTTTTCATTGTAATTCAAGGTAATAGGATATTTGTAAATAATCTTGAACGATAAAAATGATGATAGGTTAAATACACATACACGCTGAACTGTCGGTGGGACTTGGACGGAAAAGACATTGAAATATCCAAAAAGGCTTCGAGATCACGAGGAGAAGAGCAAACAATGGACGCCTTATAATCTCCATTTTTATTAGAAAGTGCGGACAATGGTCGAATACTCTGGCCTACGAGAATCGATCAGGTACAAAGTATAATTATACACAGCGAATGATTTTGGCGGTGGCGAGTGGGGGAATTGGGGGGGGGGGTCCGGAATTCCAAGTTATCATTATAGAATAGAACCAAGCTGTTTAGCCATGGTTAACCATAATTAAGTATGGTGAAATGCGTCAAGGGTTTTTTTAGACGATCGAGCATATTAGACTTAAATAGACTGAGAATAGTAAGAAAGACCTTAGTTGATTAGGAATTAAAAGAAAAATAAAAAATAAAAAAAAATGAAAATCACAGTCGAAACCACACCGATCATCCAATAAGTCCATAATGATCTACTCCTTTGCTTCTTCCATGTCTTTCATGTGCCTCTCCTCGCGCACTATCCTCCTCCACGTACGTGCCTGTGCGTCTTTGTCACTGACCGTCTCACGACTTCCACGTTCGTTCGACGATTCACGCGCCAATGTCTCCCAGAATCGAGTCAAGCGCCAGCCACATCCAGCTACAACGCTCCGTCGCATTTACCGAGGAGTGATGATCATACCCCCCCCCTCCCTCTCTCTCTCTCCCTCTACCCTCCTACCCCCACCCAAACACGCACACACGCGCGCGCTAACACCTCGCCCCTACCCCCCGATCCCGTACGGCGACCCTCTACGGTCCTCCACCGACCCTCGCCCCGGTTACAACGCTCGGAATGCCAGGGCTCACGGGGCCCCCCAGGGCGCACGTGGCGTCCGTCGCGTCCGTGGCATCCGCGGCGTCCAATCGGCTTCGACGTCCCCACCAGAGAGCCCGTCCGGGAGCTGCTCGGCCACGGCGCCAAACCCCGTGCGACGACACTCGGCCGTGTGTGAATCGCGCGCGCGCACGCACGAGGATGAGCGAGTCGTGGTGAGGTGCGCGGCTCGACACACATGAACGACCTCTTCAAGAGCAGCCACCGCGCGGATCCGTCCATCGACCAAGAATGCTGCTGGAACTTCCTCCACGAGGA